AGAGGGCAAGGGCGCGCGCGCGCAAAGAGAGAGGGCAAGGGCGCGCGTGCGCAGAGAGGGGGGAGACAGCGCGCAGAGAGTGACTTGAGTGAGAGTGAAGTGAATGTGATTGAATGAGGTGAGTGACTGAGTGAGAACAAGTGGGTGCTAAAAACAGGTAAAAAGAGAGGAATCTTGCATTCCTTGTTGTTACCAATCTAACTTTATTTTCACCCTCTGTGAAGGAGCGAGCAAATTATGATTTATTTGTTTATTCCTGAGTATGGCTACATTGTCTTTCAAATGGTCAAGAATAAGGAGGATTTATATATTAGGTACATCAACTGGGATCAAGTAAATCGCTTGAAGAGCATGAGGCGCACGAGTTAACACTGTTGCTTCACAACACCAGGGACCTGGGTTCAATTCTACCCTTGGGTGACTGTGTGGAATTTGCACATTTTTCCCATGTCTGCATGTGTTTCCGCCGGGTGCTCTGGTTTCCTCCCACAAATGATGTGCAAATTCGGTGGGTTAACCATGCTAAATTACCCAGAGTGTTCAGGTATGTGTAGGTCAGCCATGCGAAATGTAGGGGAATGGGCCTGGGTGGGATGCTCTTTTTGGAGGGTCAGTGTGAACTTGTTGAGCCGAATGGTCTGTTTCCACACTGTAGTGATTCTATGGTTATAAAAGGGTGTAGGGGCACTCAAGAGGCAAATCAGGAGGGCAAAAGGGGGTATGAGATAGCCTTTGCAGAGAAGGTCAAGGATAAGCTAAAGAGATCTATAAGTATATTGAGAGCAATTAGGGAGAGAATCGGGACCCTATAAGATCAATGAGGTCATCTATGTGAGGCAACACAGGAGATGAGAGAGATACTAAGCTAATATTTTGCATCAGTTTTTACTGTGGAGAAAGAAAAGAGGCTAGGGAACTCGGGGAAATAAATATTGATGTTTTGAAAACAGCCCACCTTACAGAAGAGGAAGTGCAGGAAGTGGATAAATCTCTGGGACCCCAAGTATATTCCCAGATGTTGTGGGAAGATAGGGAAGAAATTGCAGGGTCCTTAGCAGAGATATTCGTATCTACAGCCATGGGTGAGGGTGGCTAACGTTCTGCCTTTATTTAAGAAAGGTTGTAAGGAGAAGCCTGGGATTTATAGACCTGAGAGTTTGACATCAGTGGGGGGTAAGTTGTTGGAGGGGATTCTGAAAGATA